ATTATTTGTAGTAAAGCCGTTTTCTAAACTACTCTGGATCGATTGATAAGATGTATCAAGGATATCTTACTTTATTCTCTGTTTTCACTATCACACCATCAAAAATTAAAATCGAAACCATTCAATACAGAAAGTACAGAATATGGGAAATGAAAGAAGATAAATATGCAAAAGGCCTCGCCAAGAATCAGGTCGGTGCGGTATTTCATATGAAAGATACTAAGGTAAATGTTTTACCCAAATGTATAAGGCTTTGTATGGAGACGCCACACGTTGGTGTCCCTTTGAGGAGCACAAATGGCGGCCGGAAACCAGCAGAAGCATCTGTTTTTGAGTTTTTGTATAAAAACGTGAATTCATCGCTTAAGGAACTCATAAAAATAAAGTAATACTTATTCTGAGACAAGAAATTTTTAGATAGCAGGCAAAATCTCAAAAAATTGCTAAGTAACGTTCTTAACTTATTATATGAGAGCTTTCGTTCCCAGCCGCCATCTAAATACCGCGTTTCGCAAAAGCTTTGAAATTCAAACATCCTCTATCGCAAAACGAAGAAGCCTTTCGAACCGAAATTTTGTATAAATAAAGTTGTTTGGCTGCTGTAATACCTCAAGAAAGTAAACAGCCAGAAGAATCGATAATTCCTTAGTTTGAATTTTGGTTATGTCATGTGAAAACCGAGAAATTAAAATGGAATGATCATGAAGCCCGTCAGATTTCTTTACTGTATGATTTTGTTTACTGTATGATTTTGTTAAAAGCGAAGCGTCCCTTTATACATTCGTAAGTACGTATTAAAAACCAAAAAAATTCATACTTAACTGATTAACTGAGAAAAAATTTTAAATCAAGTTCAATCACAGTAATGGTCTTGGAACAAGAATTCTTACCATACGTCTGCATCAGACAAAAAACTGTAATAATTACTTAGGCTCACCTTGGATCAGCTTCTGAAAGCGACTAAGTGAGGTCAAAAACTTTTCCTGTACTCTACTATAAAAGCCTGCAACTTTAACTTTCGTTGAAATCCCGTGGCGAAGTTTTCCTCAACCCAAAACCAAATAAAGCAAACCAGCTTCGAATAAAAGAAGAGTCTTGATAGCAACTTTATTTCATTTTATGGCGGCAGTGGAAGAATAAGAATACCAAAAATTTGAAATGTTAAAAGAATTTTCCTGTAGTCCGCCTGTAAAAGCTTGCATGAACTATCGCAAACGCAGCCATCGATGAACCATTTGCGACACTTTCCAAATAAACAATTCAGTTTTGAAAAACAGTATAAGAAACTTGACAGCTGAGTTGTATTTCATTTTGTGGCGGCAGTACAAGAGTACGAAACTTTTTAAACTTAACTGAAATGAAAGAAGGCTTCAGTTGTCGGCGAGTACTCTGTAGGAAAACAAATTTCTAGATGTTGCGTAAGTTTTCACGCATGAATTCACTTGTCAAAATTTTTACCAAGTTGCTCAGGCCACTTAAGGCATGACTATCTAATTAAATATACATATTTTGATAAAATGCTATTTAGAACGGGTAGCTTCTATCAATGATCCTGAACATTAAACTACAAATGTAGCTTACTGGCCTTGGCAATATGAGTGCATTTTAGAAGCTCAAATTTTCGTCACGTTACTGATAACTGATAATTAACGGTCAAAATATTTACTCTAAAATGGGGAAAGGATAATGAAAGAGCACCAAGTTCTTATAGGTACATCTCAGAGGCTATTAAAAAGGTTCTTATAAATTCGCGTTGCATGTGTGTTTATGTGTGTTTTAGGAATCGGTAAATAAAGGAAAAAGTGTCACGTGACTTATTAATTAGTTAAATACCTAATAGGATAAATAGCATTTTCAATCATACAAGGCGAATTTACGATTTACACTGTTTATGTAGCATTTTGGTAGTGAAAATTCCTAAAATTTCCCTTTAGGGAAACGTGTTTGTGACGTCATTGACGAAGCGATGTCACGTGTTATTTGACATCATGTTTCGCGTGTTTTTTTCGTTGAGCCACATTCGTAGTTCACTTTTCAGGAGCACTGATGGAAGCAAACCGTTCTAAATAGCATTTACTAAAATATGCATATTTAATTAGGTAGTCATGCCTTAAGAGCGGATGTCTGTAAATATCGACCAGGGGTGAGAAAAATAAAAATTTCGAAAAATCCAAAAAAAATTCAGTGGACTACCCTAGGTACCTTATTTATGAAAATATAACTTTTACTTTCATCAGTTAAATATTTTTGCAATACAGCGAGTGTAAAGATTGACCGCTTCACGGCCTCCACCGGGCCGCTTTTTCGGGACGCGCGACAGGGTAACGAAAAGAACTAGATTTTAGTCTAATTCAAGGATCATTCAATTCACAATGTTTCTGATTGTATTAAAGGGATTTCAACATACATTTTGAGTGCTAATACGCTTCATTTGATTGCAACCAGAATATTCTACAGATTTTAAGATTTTTGAATAATTTTGAGGATTTCACCCGAGCAAAATTTTGTCGAAATTCGAAAGCCTAAAATTCAATCCGATACATCGTTTTAAGAAGAAATAGATATCTGACATTAAAAAGCAATCCTTAAGCTTTCGAAATATGGGTTCAAAACTTTGGGCAACATGTGAAATGAGTTTTTGGGAAAGCGAAATTCAGGGAGCACTTGAGTGAAATTTGACCTATCTGACTTGACAGTTATGAGCATCGGCGCGACACGGTGAATTCTAAAACAAATCTTTCAGCCACGATACGTTTAATTCAGGCGATCCCAAGTCCCACAATGATACACACGTAATTGAAAAAAAGTAAGATGGAAAAATTGTATCTCAATGTTTAGTCAAAAAGAAGGTCAAATCCCGGCTTTTTATTGTAACCTGGCTTCACACTGTAAATGTAAACATGAAGGTCAAGTACTCGTATCACGACTCAGCAAAGTGTTTAAACTTTACAGCAAAGATCGATCCTTTCTAGTAAATATGAGATCGGCAATATTTTTGTTTGTACCTTACGTCCTTGCTTGTCTTCATTACCGCAAAAACTAAGGTAAACTGCAGCGAAATCCTGGCGCACTCGACGTGTGTCAAGGAATGTTGTTACGTGAGTCGAGAATGCGTTACATAACATGACACACCAAGCGCTTTTTTCATTCGATTTTCTTTCGTCGCCAAAAAATGTCTTATCAACATGTTATAACTATACTCTTTTTTCTCCCCATTTACCTCGCAGTTTTGTGATCGCAAACATGTGAACCCAAACGTCATGAAACGTGTCAAGATTAGCGCTATGTAAATACATCATTTTGTTTGTTTGCTTTAAGTCATACGTAACTTTTCCGTTCCCCGTATTAGTTCTAATTTTAAACGATTGCGAAATATCCTAAGCGTTGTGTAGAAGCGGGTCACGGAGACTGCTTTCGCAACACCTTATTATTAGTGAGAACGTCTCCCGGAGTCATCAATTTCTTTGTTAGCACGGTTTTCGTTAGATATAAAGTTTTTGGTTCCGAGAGCTATAATCAGCAGACGTCCACTGCTCGCTGATGTGCGACCACAAAGAGTGTGATTATGGAGCGCTGGTCGGGGGTGAGTGCGGTTCAAGTGCCAGATACTTGAGCACAGAGTACGTACCGATCAGGGAATGTAGCCGATCAATTGAGCGCCACATTACAGAAACACTGCAAGCCAGTTTTGCCAACTGTGGTTTAAACACTGAAGCAGAGCTGTTATTAGCCAGGGCGGGTAAGTTTGAGACATGATTATACATATATATCTTTTAAAAACTCACCTTTCTCTTTTTTATGCTTGATATTGTTAGTTATGTTGTCTTTTCCTCACAAGAACGTTTTCCTTGGAATTTTGGCTTGAAAGGTTTTAATTTGGGGATTTCTCCGATCCTCAAACTAATGGCTATCCCCAGTCCCTAACAGAACTCGGCAGACCAAGCGCAGTTTGCTCTCAATCTTAAGGGGATAGGAGATAAAATTTTTTTTGTTTTATCGTCATTTTCACTTTTGTCGCAGGTGTATTTGAATTTGATCACTCAAAATTTCAAATGACCATTTGCCCGAAGCACCGTGACGAATTTGGCATTGGATGGCGCTGCCGGCAAATGTTATGTAAAGTTCCCCTGGCTCTGGCCCCCCATCATGTTGAAAAGAGAAGGAGGAAAGAAAGGACGCTTTCTTTCGCACAGTCAAAGTTGATCTACAGCCTTACGAAGATACTTGTACCAATTGGATCTCGTAAGTATAGTACTCTAAGTGATGATAGCGCTTTTGAACGACACTGAAATATTTAGTAGTGCATACTTTCTGATTAACTCAAATACTTATGTCTACTCTGTGTCTTTTCGAATTATCATACTTTTTTGGCGTGTACATTTGTCATTGGCAAGCCACAAATTATTTCAAACTGAGGACCAGACTAAGCATAAACTTGCCTTCCCGTAAAAGGAAATCCAGCGCTATAAATGGAAGACTACCTTCCTCCATTATAATGACTTTTCTATGTTCTTTGTCAGCAATATGTAGGGCGTGTCGTGGCTCGCTGACGGAGGAGGCAAAGCCTCAACCACCAGAGGAAATTGACACCACCTGTTACAGAGAAGTACGGCGCACGCTCCCTCGTAAGGTCTATGTGCAGGAAGAATCGGTTTCCCCTTCGAGTGAGGAGAGTAATGGGACGGTAAGCAATATATTGTTAATAACGAAAAAAACTTTAGTAGAGCTTCGCGGTTGTTTTTGTGTTAACAAAGGCAACAACAACAGCAACAATATTTGCTCACTCGAATAGAAGTTTCAGTATGGAAATTGATTTGTTATTGTAATTTTCATTATTGTTATTGTTGTTATCGCAAAATCAAAACATCGGAGCAATAAAACACGACTGAGCTATACGACAAGCCAGTATAGGTAATGACCAACAAACTGAGACTATGCAGGCTATAGGGTTCAAAACTGATATAGTAATAGAAAACATTGAGTTTTATCTTTTCGTTTTCAAACAGAAACCTGAAGCCCCTGTGAGTGACCTTTGCCAGGCTATGTCGAATATGTCCATTACCAGTTTGTATGTACCAGAGGCAACAGACCCAAGCAGCAGTGAACTGTCTTCCAGTGATGACAGGGGCAGAAGTGCAAATTTAGCAATACGTCGCGTGAAGCTCAATGAGTTCCTTATTGCTTGTGACAGACCGATCCTTACCGTCCAGAAAAAGCCCTGGAGCCAACTGACGTCCTCCAAAGCCAGGCGTCAGTATATTGCAACCGCGAACGATACCATAGTCTCAACACTGGAAATCATAAGTCCTGAAGACAGCGGCAGTTTATGGGAGGCTTTACTCAACTCTGGTGAAGTTGAGAAGTCCCTCGGGTTACCATCTCCAGTCTCTTCCGGCGAGGATAAGTATCTGACCTCTCTCGCGGAGGCTTATAGGTCCGCTTCAACATGGGACACTCAAAGACAGATCCTGTCCGTAATGGCTGACATGGTGCCCTACACTGTCATACAGAGGTACTTGCCAGACATCACAGAGTACCGGGTGAAGACAGCTAGACAGCACGCTATAATGTTTGGTAGGGGGACGCCTGTAACCATTTCAAAGAGTCCTCGAATGAGAGTCAATGAGGAGCAGCTTGACCATTTCTTAACATTTATCACAAGTCCTCACGTCATACAGGACCTCCCTTTTGGCGAGAAAACGTTAGTTCTTGCGGACGGAACGGTTGTTGAGACGCCAAACATTATACGAACACTCGTTCCTGAGCGTATTGTGGCGCAATACAAGCAATACTGCGGGGAAATCGAGTTCACCCCATTCAGTAGGTCAACGATGCTACGCATACTTTCCTCGTGCTCTGCAACTGTTAGACGGTCACTTCATGGGTTAGACTATATTGCAGCAGACGGTGGAAAAGCGTTCGACGAGCTTATTGCTATGCTTCCCAAAGTGAGCAGTGATCGTACTTGGGTTGAACGTTGGCAGAGAGCACTCATGGAGGCAAAGCAGTACATCAAGTCTGATTACAAGGTGACGTGACTCTCTGCGTTACTTACGACTAAGCCCTAATATAGTATAGTATAAACAACGTTCTTATAGTGTGAGCCGTGCCTGATGCAAATAAACAAACAATACTGTATAATCTCATTCGTATCACGAACGAATCATTATAACAGGGGCGTTTGCAGTAGCCCTTGTCAGTTTTATTTTCTTTTATGCACTGCCGAGCTTGAAATGCGCTACGAAAAGACGTCAAAAGATATCGACAAAACTAGGTGATGTTAAAGATGATACAATAGATGACTGATATTAAAGGGCCATAGTACTTCTATGATAATGTCAACCCGCTTATAGATTTTCCAGTGGAGATGAATTTAATTACATTTCTCTTATTAATTAATTTATTAATTTATTTATTCAAACACAGGTGCACCTGACAGCTGAAGCAAATGTACCTGACCACTGTATCGCTTACGCACTGAGTGACCCAAATGATAAATCTCTCTGCGTTGAGTGTCAACACGATCATGGAAACAGCTGTCTCCAGTGCGAGGAGCTGAAATCTGCATTGAAGGAAATAGAAGAAGCTCTGTCTAAGAATTCCACCATCCCCGAGGATATGCGTGACGACCTTCTCTACACTCACCAGAATGCAGTACAAGCGATACAAGCTTGGAAAGCGCATCAGCTGAGGTCTCTGCAACAAGACAAGGCGCGCACAACCGTCCTTGAGGACCTAGACGAGACAAAGGTACTTATAACCCAAGACTGGGCTATGAAGTGGCTGCCACAGAGATATCGAGAAACCCAAGCCGACTGGTTTGGGAAACGAGGTATCTCTTGGCATATTAGTGTGGTTGTGCGAAGAGTTAATGCGACGTTACAGCACCAGACCTTTGTCCACATCGTGGAAGACTGTAGCCAAGATGCAAACAGCGTGATCCAGCTTTTACGCCACACCCTGGAGACCCTCAAACGTGAGCACCCAGAGATTGAGACAGCAGCGCTGAGGCAAGATAACGCCGGCTGTTATCACAGCGTTGCCATGGTATCAGCATGTCGCCTGATGGCAGGGGAAACCGGCATCCGCGTAAAAAGGGTAGACTTCAGCGATCCCCAAGGTGGGAAGGGTGCGTGCGATCGTAAAGCAGCAACTGTGAAGGCGCATGTTCGCCGCTATGTCAACGAAGGCCATAATGTGGTTACTGCGCGGGAATTCCATGACGCTATGTTGTCTCACAGGGGCATAAACGGTGTGCGAGTGGCTCTTGTCACCAGTTCCTCAGATCAGAGCCAGCAGGTAATTGCATCCGACTACTCAGAATTATAGGTAAAAAGTTACTATAATTGTTGTAGGACAGACTATCTAAAGCATCACGTGCTATTATGACTATTACAGGTGGAGGGACCAGGACGCTGGGAAGGAATCAGCACCATTAATAACTTTGCTTACGGAGATGACAATCAAGTAACCGTATGGAAGGCCTTTGACGTTGGACCTGGAAAATCTGTCCCCTGGTCCCGACTACAAGGTTAGCTAAACATCCATTACCTTTTTTCATAGGGAGGTTGCCACGTGATGATGCTTACTAATGGTATTCATCCCCTTTTTCTTCTTTCAGTACCGAGTAAGCTACCTTGTCTGTCGTACGTGTTCGAATTGTCACCTGGAGACTTTGTCCTATGCTGGGAAAAGAAACCGTCGGCAAAAGCGACAGAATCGCAGATCAGCAGTAAGAGGGTCGATGAAGAGATTGCTGAAGACAGTGGCCTTTTCTGTTGCCCAGTGGATGGCTGCATAAAGAGCTATCAAAGGTATTCGAACCTCGAAAACCACATCATGTTTGGTCAGTGCTGCTTGCGACCGCACAGGAAATACAACTTGTTAGATCAAGCGGTCCTTCTTTATGCAGAGAAGCTTACCGTCGGAGACAGTGCTCAGCCTACTCTCGTCGTCCAGGCTGAACAATGTGAAGCTGTTGAGTCACTACAGAAAGGCTGGGCCCTAAAAGGATCTAAGAAAACAGCGAGATTTACGGAAGACCAGAGGAAGTACTTGGGGGATAAGTTTAGAATTGGTCAGGAGACGGGCCATAAGGCTGACCCTGAACAAGTAGCACGGGAAATGCGGTATGCGCGCAACGAAAGAGGCGAGCGCCGATTCAAGGTGGACGAGTTCTTAACCGCGGGGCAGATCCAGAGCTTTTTCTCCAGAACAGCCGCGAAACTTCGCCATGCTGCTACTCCGGCGGAGGACGACGAAGAGGAAGAAACTGACAACCAAGCAGCCGAAGACGAAGAAGCTTTCTTAATTACACGCAACACAATCCTGATGCAATGCACATCGGTGCACCCCATAGTATACGACACGTGGAACCTCTGTGCGATGAGCTCGACCAAAAAGCTCAGTAAGCTGACTGTAGCTCAGCTTCGTGAGATCTGCTATCACTTCAACATGGAGGATACATCATCTAGGCACAGGAAAAAGCCATATCTGGATTTTATTTCAGAACTTGTGGCTGCCCGCTCTTGCACATCCTTGGGCTAATCTTAGTGGAAAAAGTGTGACTCTTGAAAAGGGAAAAAAGAACACGAGCTAATACTTTTAGTAAGGGGTTGACCAATAGAAATGTGAAGTCGGGGTTGGGTGGAAAGTAGACAAAATAATCCATATATGAAAAAACTAATATAAGAAAAATTACACACAAACTAAGAGAAAACTAACCTACAAAACATGCACTATTTTTCGCGTTTTGCAGGCGAACGAAAGACAAAGTGGGCGCCGGCTTGAAGCGACAGGGAAAGTAGCCCACGTAGCAAGCGTTTCCGTTTGTTTTCGGAGCAAAGACGAGGAACGGGATTTTCTCCGCGAGAAAAATGGAACGAGATGTAAAAAGGGGAGGGAAGGGGAAGGAAGGAAGTTTCCTTCCGTTCTTTTACTCGCGCCATTTTCGGCGCGCTCTTTGACTCTCGATCCTCGCCCTTTTCTCCGAAACAGCACGGAAACGCTTGCCACGCAGGCTACAGGGAAAGGAGCGGGAAAAAAATGACGTAATTATATTTTTTTTCTGCTGTTTACTCTTCTCCTGGGGACGAGGTTATCACCTGCCTCCGCTCGCCTGAAAACTCGAAAGAAAAAAAGAGGAAACGAACAAAGGGGAAGCCCACCCGAAAAACGTAGGCACAGAGCTGGAACATTCCCGCAACTCCTTCCGTTTTCCGGTTTGTTTCGCTATTGATATTCTCGGTCTCACACACCCACCCACCCACCCCCACCAAAAAAAAAACGCTAAGATAAATTTTCTCATGAGGCCTTTTTATTTATTTTATACGCTGACAAGAAGTATAAAACGAGTGTTATAACAACAACGGTGTCCTCTAAACAACTGTATATTAAGCGTGGCAGTCCGAATTTGTTTCTTAAATCTTTTTTTTTTTTACATTTTGATGTCTATTTTCTTTGAAAAATAAGGAAACTACCACTTAGATGCTCTAATAGTGCTTTAAAACTGCTTGTTCCTCACTATAAACTTGTTCCAAGCATGTTAGCACAATGTGCAAAAGCTTAACTACCACTTACACATATACAGAAAAGGCATCTCTTTCGTACCTATCACAACGGTACTTTTTTTTTTAATCTAGAAGTTTTGCTATAAAGAATCTCTGTGATCCTTTTGCACGTGTTATGTTATGTAACGCATTCTCGACTCACCTAACAGCATTCCTTGACACACGTCGAGTGCCCCGTCGAGCGCGCGGGCGTATCGCTGCAGTTTTCTGAGTTTTCCTTAGTTTTGCGGTCATAAAGACAAGCAAGGACATAAGGTACAAACAAAAATATTGCTCACCTGATTATTTGCTAAACAGGATCGATATTTGGTGTAAAGTTTAAACACTCTGCTGAGTCGTGATACGAGTACTTGACCTTCATGTTTACATTTATAGTGTGAAGCCACGTTACAATAAAAAGCCGGGATTTGACCTTCTTTTTGGCTAAACATTGAGATACAATTTTCCATCTTACTTTTTTTCAATTACGTGTGTATCATTGTGGCACTTGGAATCGCCTGAATTAAACGTATCTTGGCTGAAAGATTTGTTTTAGAATTCACCGTGTCACGCCGATGCTCATAACTGTCAAGTCAGATAGGTCAAATTTCACTCAAGTGCTCCCTGAATTTCGCTTTCCCAAAAACTCATTTCACATGTTGCCCAAAGTTTTGAACCCATATTTCGAAAGCTTAAAGATTGCTTTTTAATGTCAGATATCTATTTCTTCTTAAAACGATGTATCGGATTGAATTTTAGGCCTTCGAATTTCGACAAAATTTTGCTCGGGTGAAATCCTCAAAATTATTCAAGAATCTTAAAATCTGTAAAATATTCTGGTTGCAATCAATTGAAGCCTATTACCACTCAAAAAGTATCTTAAAAACCCTTTAATACGATGATAAGCATTGTGAATTGAATGATGTTTGGATTAGACTAAAATCGAGCTCTTTTCGTTACCCTGTCGCGCGTCCCGAAAAAGCGGCCCGGTGGAGGCCATGAAGCGGTCAATCTTTACACTCGCTGTATTGCAAAAATATTTAACCGATGAAAGTAAAATTTATATTTTCATAAATAAGGTACCTAGGGTAGTCCACTGAATTTTTTTTGGATTTTTCGAAATTTTTATTTTTCCCACCCCTGGTCGATATTTACAGACATCCGCTCTTAAGTGGCCTGAGTAGGGGAGGACACTAGGTTGTTCCTGGGCCCAGTTGTTCGAAGGCCGATTAACGCTTAACCCGGGGTTAAATTTAACCTGGGTTTCTTTTTCTTGTGTTCAAAAGCATTTTCTCGCATATTTTTCTGTACTATTTTAGAGCTTCCAATAATCAACTTGTAGACAAAAAGAACTAAAACTGAAATGTCTTTTAAGCTTTCAAATCTGAATTCAAATCTCGCGCTAACCCCGGGTTATCTTAACCCAGCTTTGAACAACTCGGCCCTGGAGTTTAAACAAAAGCCCGACCAAGCCCCGAAAAGCAAAGCCTTCTTTCCGAAAATTTTGTCGTTAATCGAACAAAAGAAAGTTTAATCTAGATTTTCACTCGAGCAATTCCGTTGGTTACCCATAAAATGGTTGGTTTTGGGCCAAAACGAAACGCAACGTACATGTCTGGGACTCCTTTCCCTACCCCGCTGAGTTTTTTACCCCTACTCCAGAGTCTGTACGGACCTACGGGCGTACGCTGACTAGCCTGAATTTCATCCGATTGCTTCGAGTCGTTTTCTCGTCTCAGCAAGGAATAACGACTCGAAGTAATCGGATGAAATTCAGGTTATACGTTGACGTCATAACCAAATTTTCTGCCATCGATAGGTTTCCATTTTCTTTTAGGTATGGGGATCCGCTAATATTTTGAATTACCGACCAATAGAAAAATTCGCTCCATTTTTACAGCTACAATTTGTAAACGCGGAAAACCAACGATCGTGCGGGCACGATCAGGGAGCACCCAACATAAGCTGCAGAACCGTTCTCGTGATCTTTGACTTTTTTTCCGGCTTTCATCTTCCCTAGTCTGAACAGTCTTCTACCAACTAATCTCAGCAAACAAATTATTTCAGTCCAGTTTGTAGAAATCTGTTACCCAGATCTCACTCTGTCTTAAGCTGAAAAGATTTGGGTACGAGATTACTATACGATATTACTATACCGAAATACTTCGCTTTGCTGAAAGTAGGGAAATAATAAACGCGAGGTCAAGCTTACGACACGTACTTTATATTTATGTGCCAAACAAGGAACAAGAAAGAACATTTACTGCCCAGCAAAATTCTATTAACACAAAAGTCTAGATTGCACATGTTTGTCAAGCTGGGAAAACAACTGGAAAAACAGAACTACTTAAATTCTAAAATAAAAGCAATTTTATTTCATGCCACTAGAAATCACAAAAAATGTTATGAAAATCACTCAATAGCGACTTAAGAGAAATGCATGATTATACGCAGGTTTGTTGACTAGTTTCTATTCGGCTGTTATTGTTTTGGGACAAGCCTTTGGCGCAAATTTTTCTGGGATTGTCGGGTGGACAACAGCTAAGGCACTGATTATTTAAGGTTTCCTTAAGATACCATTAACTAACCGCAGCTAACGTCTATCCACCCAAACGTTCCAACCTAAAAATGTTTGTACCCACTCTCCTCGTCCTTTATGGAGTGGCGAATTATTCCTGCGTCCCTGCCCATGAATCCCCTTCGCCTATTAACTACTTTCCTACTCAATGTTTCTAAATTCAAAAATACAAAAAGCGACTGGCATATTCTTAGTGGACAAACTAAGCCCTTAGTGACAAGTTTTAACCTTACATTAAAGCAGAAGCAATAACTCATACAACTATAATATAGTGAGATCTCACTCATGTGCATCGTAATCTACAGAGAAGAAACAAAGAAGAGCAGATGAGTTTTTGTAATAAGCTTACTAAAAAAATATGACAATAAATAATAGTGACAATGATAATAATAATAATAATAATAATAATAATAATAATAATAATAATAATAAAAATAATAATGCTAATGCTAATTTTAATGTTAATGCTAAAAAATGCTTATGATGATGATAATAATAAGGATAATAATAATGAAGAAATACCACATCCATGCTGAAAATAACTTAAGGGAGCTATTAACTTAACAGGCGGTAGGGTATTCATTACATTAAATTGAAACAGGAAGCAAATGACACCCTGTAAAGAGAGAGACGGTTTGGCAATACGCTCGAAAGAAGTCGAAGTATGATGATGATGCTGATGATTTTCATTCAGATTGATAACATATCATAAAGACTTTTGCAGGGACTGATCAAACAACGTGAAATAGAGTTTAGTTGCGATATTCGAATGGCCAAAACCAGTCTTCATCAGGTTTATTGAGATATCACAAATTTACAGAAATATATATGAAGTAAAATAATGACCGGAAATTACATATAATATGACGCCGGGGCGGCTACTTTAAAAAAGACAAGATAACAAAAAAATTAAACATATTCTATGTATAGTTACAGTTCATCACGTTTATTAATGCCCAGAGACTCAATTGTCTTAGCTTTGTGGGCTTCACGTGCTTTCCTGAAAGAATAACGCCCATTTTTAAGTTTTTCAATAGGAATCAAGAGCATATAATTGTCGGAATGATTACTGGTCAGAAAGTGTTCTGAAACTGCAGTATGGATGTAATTACCAGTAGGGTTGAGTATGCACGTGTATGGCTCCTTCCTACGCTAATTTTTTTTTGGTAAATTTGAACGCGACGCTCTCCTTAACTCACCCCATCAACCATACTTGTGGCTTAGATTTTTCGACGATATTTTCATGATCTAGACTGAAGGTCCAGAGAAACTGAAAACATTTGTTGATTAAATAATAACTTACACTCCACCCTCAAGTTCACTTGTTCGCATTCACCTAGTAACATATCATTCCTTGATGTCATGGTTTTAGTCAAGGATGGCTCCATAGAAACAGATCTTTATACTAAACCTACTGACAA